TTATAGATGAGAAAGGAATTGGTGAAATGACCAAGCCTTTAAGCAGTCGCAGATTTATACTTAACGCCAAACATAAACTGGAAACATTATCATGAAGCTCTTTACAAGCCTATAGGGCACATGAGTTCAAGGCACTGGAATAAGGAGCCAAGTCTCTAAAACTATTCCAGCCAGCTCTGACTTTGAATGCCTGTTTCTATGGATTAAAACTATTTCCCTCCCCTCCCCTTTTTGGTTTTGAAGAGTATATTAAAAAAAAAAAAAATCAATGTGCCCAAGGCATCCCTTAGTTTGAATGATTCATAATTGAACAATTATATTAATTTAGGAAGGTTGAATACTAGACGTTTACAAGGCAAGGATTACAGAGCACCGAGTCTCAGGCGGTTCATGGGCAAAAGTTTTGAAGCCCAAACCTCAAGTTCTTAACCAATGGCACTGGGAGGCATCTAAACTTCAGTTCCAGGGTGAAGTAAAGAAATAAACATTCATGCATAAAGGAGGGAGAGTCGGCAGTCATTCATCTTGGGTAGCATACTGGTTTCTTTTTAAGACTAATGAAAATGTTGAGTCGTAGAAAAATGCTGAATGCCCATCGCACTTGCTATCCTTATTTTTCACACCACAGTTAACATATGCTGCCATGTGTTGCTCTGTGCCCCGAGTATCTAATTAGCTCGGGAATCTCGGAGAGAAGGGACGGGTACTGGCACTTCAGTGGGCCTTCCATGGACTTCAGGCCCAAGGCAGCTTGTCCTCTGGGGAAACCAAGGGTGCCCAACAGAATGAAAAGAGAGAAGCCCCCAAATAACTCATTAAGAGGGCACTACCGGTCTCTAGAAAAAGCGGACCAGGCCACATCATAACCTAGAAACACCCTCTGGACTGCCCTCGCCTGGTAAGATACTTCAGAGCAGAAACTAAAATGATGTCTGTGCTTAAAGAGAACAAAAATATCCTCTTTCTTGGGGCTGAGTTGTTCATGGTTATGAATCAAGAGCATTCTCCGAAGATTCCAGCGGCAGGGTCATTTAGAGGACTCTCGCTTCTGCTTTGTGGGTGTCGTTTTAGATGCTTCTCCTTTGTCCTCTCTGCTGTGTTTGGAAATAATAGGATTCTCTGATTCATTCGAGAATGGATCTCTTTTTACATGCACTGAAGTGCCCAAATTTGACCATTTTCTTCAGGGAGAGGACACTAAGAGTATATGCCTGAAGATAGGAATTTGGTAACCTGAGATGTGCCCCCCAAGTTTACCTGCATGGTCTGGCTGCATGAATGCCGTCATAGAGGTATGGGGAAACAGGGCCAGGGTGTCGCGGTGAGTCCCTCGGATGTGAATGGTGTTGCCTTGAAAATAAACTCCATGCATGTCGGTGTCAGTGCCCATTCCAATCATGTGCCAGGAAACTCTATCCTTTTTACACATGTTTACGCCTGGCTGATTGCCGTACATATAGCCATTAATAGCTAAATGGAAAGAAAGACATTGTCAGGGGCCACTATAATTTTGTAGACATATTGAAAACACATCATTTTAGTGAAAGATTATCAGTGTGTATGGGATGGGGGTGTTCAAGTTCAAACTATATTCACAGAAGATCCTTATTATCAGAGAATAAATAGTACTAGGAAAAGTCATGTTGTGAATCAATTTAAAATAGAGACTGAAATTAACAACGAATAATGAAAATATACTAAAATTGTGAAAGTGTTATTTAGCATATACACAAGGCCATGAATTCTAAGAATTAATAAGGAATAAGTCGGGTTGCTTTCTGGCAAAATTTTTTTTCTGACAAAATCGTTTGAGACTATTATATGATATCCTTCGCTTCAAATTTTAGTTTTACAGATTATAAAGAGGATCTTTCTTGAAAAAATATTATGAATTTCACCAATTTCCCCAAAGTCTTCTCTGAAACTGTCGATATGAAAATCATTTTCTTTGGAGGTTCTTCTCCTGTTGTCTCCCTTGTTAAGCGTCCTTCCTTGGCTATTCATTCATTTAATTTTGTCAGATCCTCATTTGTCAATGGCTTTGCATTCGATTCTAGAAGTTATCAGATAACCCTTTACTGATTAGCTTTTGCACTAAGGAATTTCTGTTTCCTCATTTTAGTTTAGTTTTCCTTTTTTATTGACTACTAGGAAGGTTGGAAACAAATTTCGTATTCAGTTACAACAAAACTTTTTATAGAAGATGATAATGAAAATGCCTTATGCTGTGCTTTTCATCGGCCCAAGAGGGGACTCTTGGAATGGAGCATCCAGGACCATAGGTGTCTATGAACTGGTTGCTATGGGCCACTTGGAACCTTGGACCATTTTGGACTTCTTTGTGGGAGAAGATAGAAACTATCTTGTTATTAATAACAAGGGGCTGTCTTGTTATTTTTCTCGTAATGTTTTAATGGCAATAAATAGATGTTATGCCTGATCCTAAAACTGGCAATTTAGCACCTGTTATCTCACAGTGTTTGCTTTAGGCACCTTTTTTTGGCTGCACACTCTTGCAGGCATTTGAGTTTGGACTCTTTCTAATTATTTCGCCCCCTTAGGTTGTGTGCCCAAGACTAACAAGAATCCTGTGTTAGACCAATTGCAAGGTGGTGTGCTATTATAACAACCAATATGAGAGAGAGAGAGAGAGAGAAGGAGAGAGAAAAAGAGGGAGAGAGAAGAATTAAGTAGTTCTAAATGAAGATTTGGGATGGAATGGCTAGTATTTTACAAATTAACACTTTAGACAGATACTCATGTGACTTGATAAAAGATGCTTTGCTGTACGATTACGTCCAGTTATTGCTGGGGTTATCAGACAACGATGTCATCATAAACCCAAGGGAGGCATTTTGTCAGTAATTTTATACATTTAAGATGTACTGTGATCTTTGCTAGTTCAAATTTTGCACTGCTTCATCTAAGGCTGAAAAGTTGTTTAGAAATATTAATTAAGGTTCACAACATCTCTGGGAGATAGGAAGGTTTCACCATACCTTGTGAGGCTGAAGCCCTGAAATAATTACTCACAACTAAGAACAATACTCAAGAAACCAAAATTAAGATGGTTGATGCATTCTGGACATTTTCGATTCAAATGCAATTACACCTTTTTTTACAGCAGGAAAAGTCTTTTTTTATACCATGCATCCGGTTAGACTTCACAAACTCTTTGTCCTCTTTGTCAACACTGGAGGGACGCCAGGTAAACTTCTGAATGTTTTCATCAAGATACCTGCTCAGATTTTCATCGAAGACTGTGAATAGTAGATAAAATTCCTTGTCTATTCCTTTCTACAGAGAAGAAAGAAATGAATATGTAAAAAGTACCAGGTGGAGGAATTTTTAGCTCTGCTTCACTTTCAAAGTTAACACAAAGTCAATAAGGACCATCATCAGCCATAGATTTACTGGATCATTTCGTAAATTAGGATTCTGAGCATGATTCTGGTAAATTTCACTCCACACTCCAAAAATTCTTCTCATTGTCTGCTTCTCCCTCCCAATGTAACTTTAAGGAAAATAAGTTCCTGCTCCAAAGCTTTCCTGCTCTATGGTACTACCGTTGTCAGGCTGGACATCACCGTTTTACTCTCCTTACTGTGGCCTCCATGTACCGACCTCGGCCTATTCCTCCCCCTGATTTCATATCTGTGTACTCACCCCCAGGTTACTCCACCACTCTGGCCTTTTGCTCTTTCATGAATACACCAACCTCATTCCTGCCTCAGGGCCTTTTCATGTGCTGTTCCCACTGCCTAGAAGGTTATCCCAGGTCTTGCTTGGGTCACTTCCTTACTCCATCCAGTTTTCTGCACAAATGTTGCCTCCTCAGAGGACCCTTCCCTGACCACCCTGCTTAAAGCAATCATTCATCTTCCACCCTGCCTGCAAACTCACCCCCTTTACCCTACTTTACCCTTCATAGCACTTATCTCTACCTGGAATTATATTTTGTCTATGAACTTATATTTTTTTCTCACTGCAATATAGGCTTTGTGAGGGTAGGAACATTGGGGTTTTCTCTCTGTATCCCCAGCTCCAAAACAAATGCCTGGAAAAACAGTCATCCAGTACATGTTTGTGAGTGAAACAGTAAATTTGAATAACTTATAAGACTTTGTTATATTACATTAACTTGAATTAATATTGAAGGGACTATGAATTACTTGTCATTGTATATATTCCTAATCCATCTATCTGATCATACAGCATCCTGAATATCTGATCATACAGCATCTTGAATTGCTGAAATATGCTTTTCTTTAAAGCTGAAACAAAGAGGTAACTGCATTTCCTCTCCCTCAATGTGTTCCTTTCCCTAACATGCTCCCTTCTAATTCACCCTTCATCCTGCTGCCTGCTCTAGAGTAATCCTCAGCAATGCCACCTGATCGCATCTTTCTCCTTAAACTGGACAGTGTGATTTAAACTCACAGTGATCTGGTCCCCACCAACCTCATCTCTTGGCCCTTCCCTCCTTGCACTTTGACTGGAGTGAAGCCAAGCTCCTTGCAGCAATCTGAACCTGCTGTGCTCTGCAGGCCTCTGTCCTTCATGCATGTACCCCTCAACTTTGACGGTCTGCCACCCTAATCCATCATGGGCCAGCTTAGCTGTCCACCTTTGTGATTCTTTCCTAATGTCTTATCAAAGATATGGTTACTTCTTGCTTTATGCTCCTACTACATCTTATATACACTTACTGCTTTTATCACATGGTGTTTTAGAAGGCAGTAGTTTAAGATGATGGGCCATAGAAATAAACAGTGTAAGTTTAAAACTTTTAAAAATAAAAAATAAAAACTTGAGGGAAAATAAGGGGTCAAAATATATTTTAAAAGATCATGAGTTAAAATGACCTTATTACTTAAAGCATTATACAGATTTAATGCAATCCCCATCAAAATTTTACTGGCATTTAAAAAAAAAAAAAGAACAAAAAATCATCGGATTTGTATGGAAGCACAAAAGACCCCAAATTGCCAAAGCGATCCTGAGAAAAAAGAACGAGGCTGGAGGCATCACTCTGCCCGATTTCAAATTATACTACAGAGAGACAATAATCAAAACGATATGATATTGGCAGAAAAACAGACACATGAACCAGTGGAACAGAATCAAGGGTCCAGAAGTAAACCCATATTTATATGTGCAAATAATTTTCAACAAAAAAGCCAAAAACATACAGTGGAGAAAGGAAAGCTTCTTCAATAAATGGTTCTGGGAAAAGTAGAAAGCCACCCGCAAAAGAATGAAACTAGACTGTTGTCTATCACCACACACCAAAATTAACTCGAAATGGATTAAGGACCTAAATATAAGACCTGAAACAATGAAATGCATAGAAGAAAACATAGGAACAAAGCTCAAGGACCTTGGACTTAAAGAGGATTTTATGAATTTGATCTCAAAGGCA